AACCTAATTACTAATTAAAATTAATAAAAATGATTAATTTTGACCTATTTTTGTATTTTGGTTATTTTAAGAAAAAAGAAATTAAAAAAGAAATTAAACAAAACCTTAATTTTCTAATTTGTTTTAATTTATTTACAAAGAGGTTAAAATTTCCCTAAAATTAAATAAACTAATTAAATTAAATTTGATAAAAATAACCCTAAATCTAATTTGAGAAAAAATTGATTTTATGAGTTTTTTGTAAAAAAAAAGAATTAAATTTGTGTGAGAAAATAATTTAAACAAATTTATAAATAAACAAAAGAAAATATAAAAGAAAAGAAAAAAGGAATGGGCCTGGTATCAAAGTGAAAAGGGAGGTGTCAATAGCATATCTGAGCCCAATAAGCATGGGTCCACGTTGACTCCCATGATCCAATGCGTTGGCTTGACTAAGATGCATGGTAGACCTTCAAGGATGAGCGTTAGATCTGGAGATCTAGTGACTGAACGTTGAGGGCATATGGTGAGACACTTGGGCCAAGGGTGCACTGAATCTGTAACAAGAAAATAAGAAAATAGCATTTTGTTGGGACCTGGGATCGAACCCAGGTCCTCATGCTTCAAACCATCACCTTGTTGCCATCTGTGCCACGCTGCTTATTTGTATAAGGAATAATAAACAAATATTATATTAGAAAACACAAAATGCCAATTGTGCAGCGCGCGAATTTTTGAATGGACGAATGGTGTGTTGCCACGCCACCTTCTTCTTCCTTCTTCCGTTGGCAAAAGTCCAAGACTTTTACCTACAGACACAGTCTGTAGCTATAGCCCCTGTGATTTCCAAAATCTCACACAAGCATCATAAATGAAAACTAAAGGTACAGATTAATTCGTCTTGACCTTGTGAGCATCATGGCATCCCTCTTTTGGGCTAATTTTACCTGCAATCAGAACACCTAAAAACGAAACCTAAACCCTAACAATGGTGGATCTCAGTATGGATAACAAAAATGCAATTGAATATATCCATTAGCTTGCAGATGTTTCACTGAACAAGAATATGTAAAGAATTCACGCTAACAGTGCCAAATTCATGGGATTCGATTTCAAAAAGGTAAGGGTATCTTGAGGCACATACAGTGCATTTTTGGGCACGAAAATACTTGTTGATGATTGGGATAGACTCCTTGAATGCCCAGCAAGTGAAAAGTGTGCTTGGAATGGCTTGAAAGCGCCTGGAACTATGAAAATAGATTGCTACTTTTCTTGAGTTTTTCCAAGTTTTTCCTCAGCTTCTCACGCCTCTAACCCCTGTGTATTTGGTCTACAAATGTTCTATATGTAGCCTTGAGTGAATTAGGTTTACAAATTTGCATCCAATCTTCTCCAATAATGATCATTGATTAAGATTTGATTCTCATGTAAATCTTCCCAAAACAAGCCAAAAACTAATCTTTTTGTGTACAAACAAGCCTTGCACGATTTGATCTCGTTTCCAGCTATTCATGGACCTGAAATATGCACAAAATCTCAAGGTTTAAATGATTTCGATATTTTCATGATTTTATTTTGATTTAATTTGATTTAAATGAAATCAAAATCAAAATAAATGACAAAAATAAAATAAAGGCAAGTTGGAAGGATCATGGGTCTTGGACCATGTTACAAACTCAATACAAGCACAAAAAGTTGGGCCTATTTGACAAAAATTTCAATTTGAGGCACATTTGACTTTTGGCAATTTTGCAAAAAAAGGTCAACTTTGCCAATGCATAACTTCCTCAATTTTGACCCTAGAGATGTGTTCTTGGACTTTTTAGAAATCTTAGGATGTCCTCTAAGCAACCCTTTTGGTCTCACCTCAATTTAGTCTTCCATGTTCATGTATGAAGCTTTGACATAAAAGGTGTTTTTGTTGACTTTTTAAAATGACCTATAATGTCTAAATTTGTAACTTCTTGTGAGTGTATATTTTGAACTTGGGAGCTGAAGATGAATTGTAGGGCATTGAATCCTCTTAAAAATGATCTTTTTATAGTTCATTTGTGAGAAAGTTATGCTTGCTCAAAGTTGGGTTGACTTTTCGTACAAAACCCTAATTTAGCAACTTTTGGGTTTTGATGAATTGTGAGCAATTCTTGAGGAATGATGATCAACTCTTGATCAAATGATGAATAATACTTCAAAATGAGGATGTTGACCAAGAATCTTGAAGTTTAACTGTATGTGGGCCACAGTTGACTTTTTCCCTAGCACAGTCGATTTTCAGGCATTTAAATAGTTGACTGAGCAAACTTCTTATGCAAGGCTTGAAACTTGACATGGATTATCTTGAGAACATATTATGATAATAGTGAGAATTTGGGACCCTTTTGATTCAAACATCTTGATGCAAACTGAAACCCTAATTTGGGGTAGACTGCCTTAGGAAAGAGTTTGTCTGGTCAACCCTTGGTCTTCCTTGAGCAATTTGAGGACCTCACTTGAAATGTATTGAGAAATATGGGAGGACAAATTTTGGGGTACAATAGCTGCCCATGTTCAATCTTCTTAAACCTGAGGATGTAGATTGGCTTGTCTGCCTTTCGTGATCCGAGGGTGGAAGATGATTGAACACTAGAGTGCCCAGAAATTTACACTCACATGAAGTGGTATCCATCTTGCGATGTCGGGAATGGGCTTATAGATTCCATTTGGAGGTTGGTGTCGGACGATGGGCTTAAAGATTCCATCTGAAGTAGTGTCGATCGCATAAGAGATTCCTTAGCGAGAGCCTGTATACATGTTGTTGAGGAGTACTACGCTGGGGAATGTTGTTCTCTGTCTTGGTAGAAGTTGAATTTTAGGAGCTTTGGTCGTCCGTTATTCTACTGGGGAATCGTCTCTTGATCGAAGAGGTGAAAATGAACTACTATCCGGTCGTGATCCAGGCTTTGTAGTGATAAGATCGACTGCTATCTGGTCGTGCTCCAGGCTTTACAATGACTTAACGAGGAGATGACATTAAAATTGGTAAGTAGATTTATGCAGAAGCCAAAGGTATCACATCTAGCAGCAGTGAAGAGGATACTAAGGTATCTCAAAGGAACTTTTGATTATGGCATTTTGTTTCCTGCAGTTGATAAAAGAAAAGAATGCAAGTTAGTGGGATACACTGATTCGAGTTGGTGTAGTGATGCTGAAGATCGAAAGTCAACAGCAGGATATGTGTTTATGCTAGGTGGTGCACCAATTGCTTGGAATTCAAGAAAGGAACCAGTAGTGGCATTATCATCATGCGAAGCAGAATACATAACTGCTTCTCTTTGTGCATGTCAAGCAACTTGGATGGTGAACTTGGTCGAAGAGATAACAGGAAAAAATCATGGAGCAATTACCATGAAGATAGACAGCATGTCAGCTATTAATCTGGCAAAGAACTCAATAGCACATGGTCGAAGTAAGCACATCGAAATGAGATTCCATTATCTTCGAGAGCAGGTAGCAGATGAGAAGATGAATTTGGAACACTGCAGAACTGAGAATCGGATTGCAGACATCATAACGAAGGGAGTGCAAGTCGAAGTATTCAGAAAGCTAAGAGTCATGATGAACATAGACAGTTTAGACACAATGAATTAGGTGGTGTGTTAAATTATAATTCATAATGTCAAAGAAGATTTGATTTATTTTAGATTTAAATAGATTTGATTTAAGTCCATAATAGATTTGATTTGATTTGATTTAGTAACAAAAAGATATTTTGGACTTTGGACTTAGGGTGTAAGCTCAGTTATAAATAGAGGGAGTAACCCCTATTTTTCAAAAAAAGTCAAGTAAGTCAATTCATTGTACTCACAGAATTTGCAGTTGCAAGTGATTAAGAAAGTTTTCCATAGTTTGTGGGCAGAGAGAAACTCTACAGAAATATTTGTGTTGTCTTCTTTTCTTTGTTTGTCTCATAATTAAATTGTGATTGTGATAGAAATTCATCATAGAATTTGGTGGATTTCCAACATATATATTTTACTTTTATGTATGCTTCCAACATTAGAATAAATATTTATCGAATAAATATGTATTGTATCCAAATATGATTTTTCAAAACTCTATATCATATCTTAATCACCAAAAAGTGTAATCCTTTTATTCCCTCAAAACAGGTAAAAAGAAATACCAAAACATTATATTGCTGCCCAGGATTGAACTAGAGACCTTTAATGTATATGTAACACTAACGGGATAACCACTACACCACAGGAACTCAAATCCTAACCGTTTAAAAAACAAATTTATTTCCTAAAGTCAATGTTTTTTAAAATCAATTTTTTGCTGTTTTGTTATATGTTTTTCTTGTGTTACATTGTATCTTGCTAGGTTTTAGTTTTTGCAACAAAAATTATATCTATTAGTGAGAGAATCTCATATATTATAGATAATTTTCAAAGTGAGTAACAACTCAGTAACAAAATATATGTATGTACACAATTTACTCAACTCAAAACAGGTTAAAAAATGATATTAATAAATATCAAAAAGAGATGATAAAATGAAATTTGATATACAGATTATTTTTGTGAACAAACGGAATTGTGCATGGATAGAAAGACTGACAGAGAAAAGAGAAAGGTAGATAGAGATGTTAAATGCTATTAAATCATATTGGTGAAATGTCATATAAACTGATGAATTGGGCGCAACTAACTACCACAATTTGGTAGGCCAAAAAAACAATATTTTTTGAACTTTAATTTGATCTTCCCGGTACATCACTTCTATACATCAATAGATAGATCAAATAGTAGTAAACATACATCAATTAACACTGATAACTTAGACATAAGAATATACATAACGATTTACACACGGTTACGAAAAAGGCATAATAGAAAACAATTTCCATATGCTATAACATCCAAAGAGACAATTCAAATAACTCAGACAAGAGTAGCAAATCTCTGGTTAAGTAGTACCTAATTCAATCTGTACATGGATATACATATGAACTAGCTAGATACAAATTTACCATCACAACTTCACCACCAACCCACAATAACAAGGGCTGGATATTTTTTTTGGTAGAAGTGGGAAGCATGAACTGCAACTCTACAAATATGACATAAACTAAATTTGGTGAATCAGATTTGGACTTTATAGACATGCTTCGCATTGAAAGGGAGTAACAAATATCAACCCTTGACAACAGTATACGTTAAAATCTGTCTGTTGCAATCACTTACTTTATGTGAGAGTCATACATGTCAAAGATGGAGTCTGGAACAATCAAAGGCAACTTATCTATGTACATGAAAACCCTTCTGAGATTCTCCCTTGTCACAGTTGCCATATCAACCACGTCCCTTCTGTCAGTGAATACCCAGAGATCCCCCGAGTTCACTCTCTTCAGACTGTCACGGCAAAAAGGGCACGACTGTGATATTGTTCGCCTGCAAAACACGCCAAATCAGTTAACCTTCAACTGAACCAAACACACACTTGGAAGCCATGACAAGAGGCACGAGATATCTGCTAAAGTTTTATATCCTGAGATAATAAAGAGAAAACAAGTACTACAAATCTCTGAGAACTAGTGTTCAGTCTTACCTTGGTTTGGCAAGAGGCTAATCAAAAGACTCTAACCTTTAACTAGGTCATGTAGAAATCAGACACCACTAAGGGTTTAACAAACTAGTAAAATCAAACGGCTTAAAACAAAATATCTCAGGTTTCAATCTTTGTGGGTGGGGACTGTTTTGTAAATATACCACTATGCGCCTCATCCCAATAGCTGATAAGTAGATTAGGCAACTAGACAATGGAGCAGACATGGTCCATCAAGAACATGGAAACGAGTCTTCCATTCAATCAGAATGTATGACTCAAGTGAAATAACGATGATCACAATTGTGGAGCCAAGACAGCATGCCTTTTTTTTCATCAATAGAAAATTAAAGTGCCACAGCCATGTTTGACCCCTTCTTCCAATTATTCAATCTAATAAAACTTTTAAGTCCAATTAAACCATATAACAAATAAACTCATAAGAATTCCACACAAAGCATGAACACAATTTTCTTCTTAGTCACTATATTAATAAAATAGTGTCTTACTAATCAAAACATATTTCATTTTCGTTAGTTAAGAAAACTCTTGATTCCTGATGCTTTCATTTTCCTCACATAAGAACAACCGTCTGTACTATAAACGGGACAAGATCTCTGTCATTCAAAACATATGCATATGCATGGGAAGCGAAACACATCAACAAGTTGATATAGAGGAAAATCTAATCAATACTTCCATCCTAAGTGCTACAATCAGATTATATATAATAGCTCTAGTACTTATCAGCCAAAAGGAATTCAGAAGTCATATAAGTTACATCCTTCTAGCAACATAAGTTTGCCAGCCAGACCAGTTAGAAGTTCCAAACCAATATTTTGAGATCAATGCTTCCAAACCCTAATACTATTTTTGTTCTAATGTATTGCATATTCACAATCAGGTCGCAATAAGGAAAAGTGACAACTCACCTTCATATTCATGATGCCTATTGGTGAAATTGAACCTGCAATCAAGCACAGGATTCTAAAACCACTTCACTTACAGTGAGAGTTTTGATTTCTACTACTTACATCATCTAGCATGACAGACATTTTAGCTTGCAAGGTTGTTAACAAATATGGCCAAGATAAACTGAACAATCCAAAACCCAGGGGAATCCAATCAGGCTCAATGATTAAATTTCACTATTACTGAAACACCATAGTCATTTAGTAGTGACCACATCAATAATGCATGGAAACACCAATAACCAATAAAGAACAATCATACAGAGAGCCAAACATGTAGTACAAACAAATCAAACAACCCAAAAATTTCCGCTTCTTGACATTAGTAAAAATGTCATGACTGTGAGATATTCGGGAGTCACACGAACAAACACACACACAAAGAAAGAGAAGGGGCAGAAAGTACCATTCTCGGTAACACTTGAGGCACATAGCATGATTACAGTTAGGCAACACAATTTTACTATTCATCTCCATGCATATCCCACATTCTTCCTCTCTTTCAATGTCTATATCAGAAGATTGCCTGAAATCATCGTCATCTCTTCGACGGTACCTCTCCATACACACAGCTTTTTGTTTTTTATCCTCAGAATCAGTGACACCTTTTTCAAGTTGCAATAAAGAGGGATAAATGACAGCTGGTGAAACAAAAAATTGAAGAATACATGAGGCAACGAAACCCAATACTAAGAATAAAGTGCATGTTTGGATTGCAGAATGAGAGTGAGCTACAGTTAAATGAGCGCAGATACAAAGATAGAGTTAAGACAGAAGGGAAAGGTATAGTGATATACCATAGAATTCCCTTATACTTGCTTTTCTTTCATGGGTAGACATGGTGGTTGTTCCATCCACATAGACCTAAAACGGATAGCAAAAGAATTGATGTTATCCAAGTGTTTGATAGGTTGAAAAATCAGCATAGATTACCTTGTAAATCAAGATTCTTAACAATCCAAGAGCTCCAGCAAGATGACAATCAGTCCATTGAACAAAAAACAGAAACAAGTGCGCAGCTGGACTATATGACATCCTCATCTGAACACATGCACCATCATACTCCCTAGGAAAATCTGATGCCCTAAAATAGACAAAGAAAAACAAGAATTAAATGAGAAAGCATAAGTAGCGTGCAAGTGAAGCAGGAGATGATACATAGAATACAACATTGAGATAGTAAAAAAACAAAAACAAAAAAAAAAAACAAGAATTGAAAGTACATGAATGATTTGGCAAGAAAAAAATAGAAATATTTGGGAAGCAAAAGGGGAATATATAATATAATGAAGAATTAAAATCAGGATCTGTGAAAGAAGAACTAACAGAGTATTGGCGTGTTGAATATCAGCTTCAAGGACTTTTAAGGAATCCTTGAAAGACTTGCGCATGGAAGCAACGTACATGTCTCTCTGTGACAGACCAAAACAAGAAAAGCAAACTTTTGAAATTGAAAAAGAAGAAGAAGAAGGCTCTGTGGTTTGTTGTGGCTTTAGTTTCTCTCACTAGAATATGTATGAGACAAGAGTGAAAAAGAGAACAAGAACAGAAAGAGAGTGGTTGAATTGATTCGTGTTGCTTCTATACTGTTCTTCAAAGCCAAGAGGCGAAGCTTGTCAGGACACGTGTAAGCATCAACACCCTCCTCTTCTCTACCCCATTATTCTTTTTTCTTTTCTTTTTTCACTTTAAAATATGACTGTAACCCACTTTTTATTTTATGTTTATGGATATGTATATCAATTGTGTTTTTATATCAATTTTTCAACACTAAATTAGATACATTGGATACTTTAATTCATTTACATTTAATCACTATAACAGAAAATAGTCAAGGATTTAACTTTGACTAACCGTTTACATTCAATAAACTAATTATGACTCTATTAATTGTTTATTAATCATTTATAAAATATAACGATTTTGAATGTAATAAACCATAATCTTCAAAATTATATAGTCCAACCACGGATAGTTTAAAGCAAATTTTCATTTAATTAAATATTTAATTTTATCTAATTATAAGAGTTAAAATTGTTTTTTTCTACCATACTTGCTTTATAGAGATTTGATATTAAATGTAGTTGTTGTAGCGCACTTACATATTTTATTGAATTTTATATTATTTTTATTCTATTATTAATTATATAACTTAATTATTATTCATCATTTATACATTTATTTACTAATACTAATTAATTGATTTCACTATTTCACATATTAGAATAAATATTTTTATATTCAGTTTTTATGTTATAGTCTTGGTAACGTTCACAATATTTTCAATTCCTTTGTACTTCTCTCACATTTACCACTATTTCTTTTATTTTCCAAAAAAAAAAAAAATTATCCGGTATGCTTCTTTCTACTTTTCATCAATTTCATACTAAAATCTTTTTTTATTTTCATCAATCTCATACTAAAATCTTTTTCGATTTTCATCATAAATTCATCTCTCTCACCTGACTCAAACAAAACAATAAATTTTCCTCTATTAAATTTTTTGATTTCAATCGATTTTTAGTTCTCATGTTGTCATATTTATTTTGTTTTTATATTTTGATTTCAATTTCTCTATTAACATTTTTTTCTCTCAATAAAAATTCAATTTATTGATGTTGAATCATTATTTTGAAATCAAAGGAAATCTTAAGAATCAAAAATCAACATAAAATCGTAAACAAGGAATGAAATTTCGGTTGGAATCTAAAAGAGGAAGATTTTTTTTTATTTGATTTGTTCTTAAGTTTCTATTGTAAAATAATATGTTATATTATTTCTATTTCACTAAATTGAGGTGATTAGATTTTTAGATCTATTGAAATAGATTCAGAAAGATTAAATTTTTAGATCTATTGAAATAGATTCAGAAAATAGATTCTAATTATTTTCAGGTAATTTGTAATTATTGCTTCTTTTACCTTCATATTTCTCGAAAGCCTAAACCAAACTTCAGTAATTGCATGACAAGTATGTATGTGATTCTACTTATACCATTTATTTAATAGGTGATTATGTTGCTGTATAGCAAATCTTGGAAGACAGAATATTACATTAAATAGTGTCAATTACTTTATGATATTTGTGAATAGACTTTATTACTAAATAAATATTTTAATCATTTATTAAAGAAATTTGCATCATAATCACTTAAATATTTTATTATTTAATTATTCATCATAATCATTATTGTCTTTTATTAAGTTATTTATTAAATTGAAATAACTTAATTTATTGTTTTTAATGTGATTTTGTTAATGTGTTGTAAATAGATGATAATAGAATTTTAAAAAGTTAATAATCATTCTGCAATATTATCTACAATAAGATCATTCTTATTAATTCTATTTTAATTAAAATCAATTATATTTCCTAAATATTTAAATTTTTAGAAAAGATTAATAAAAATATGGAACCAATTAAAATAAAAATTATGATCTATTTAAATAAATAAATAAATATCTCACAATTATTTTATTATCTAATTATGTTTAATTTTTTAATTAGAATTATATTTTTTTTTAAACTTAAAAAATTATTAAAACAAAACAAAAAAAAATCAAATTAACTTTATAATAGTAATTATGATAAACAAAAATGATAAATGATATTCATGAAAAAATATATTAAATAGTATTCAAGAAAAAAACGATGATAATAAGAAGAAAAAAAATTATTTAAAATAATTTTAATTGATTTATTTAAAAAGTATCATAGACATAAAAAATTATAATATATATAATATTATGATATAATATAAGAAAAAAGAAAATACGTAACTCCTTCTAATTTAATATGATTTTTTTTTTCAAATCTAATAAATAAAAGCAAATATTATTACTATTGAATTTGATCTACTTTTAATGTTCAAACATTTATTTTTTTAAATAGAATTTTACTTTTAATATTCTAAATTTACGTGGTTGTTGTTATTAAATTTATTTAAATTTATTTTTTAAAAAATTAGTAATATATTAATTATAATTAAAACTTTTATTAAAATATAATAATTTAAAATTTCAATTTATCAAAAAAATGTTAGTATTTTTTTTTATGTTAAAACGTTATCATTTATACTAAAAAAAAAATTATAAATATTTGTGTATCATAAAACAAGAGACAATTAAGATAGAAAAATTCATAATTTTTTTATGAAAAAGATAAATTTATCATTCTTTTTATATTTCTACAATTATATATTATCATTTTATTTAACTAATACACATAACATAAAAAATTCATCACCGCGTCAAAAATAAGTTTTATCTCTTTATAAAAACATAAAAAAATAATATATATTAACTGTAATTATTATAATAATATACATCAAACGTAGAAATTTTTAAACATTTGACGGGAGTTGTCATATATTTTAGGTTTGGAAAAATGGACTAATATCTAAAGTAGGTTTAATAAATTTCTAGAATTAACTCATTTGTATTCCACTGGAGTTTGTTAACTCATTTGGATTGACGGATAGATGTGAACGTATCTATGAGACACTAGCTATTGACTAATCATTTTAATGTCTATCTTTAACTATTTTTTGTTGTTGTTTTATATAATTGAAGATATAAAAATGGTTGTACGATTTATAATAAATACGAATCAATGCTTAAAAGTGGTTACATATTATTAGTATATGATTGAGATTACGTGAATATTTATGAACTTCAATGTAGTTATATGTAGTTACAATTGAGTTTTATATACATATACATATTACTACCTTTGTTCCTTTTTATAAAAAACATGTCAGTTTTTATGTTCATTGAGTAATCAATGTATTTGATATGTTTATAGACTTGATACATTGATTATTCAATAAACCTAAAAAATGCGTCGTCTCTTATAAAAAGGAACAAAGGTAGTATTAGTATATATGTAGTTAGTTCAATGGCCCCTATGTTAAGTTTTGTATACTGACCATTGATAATTTAACAATGAGACTTTTGCTTTCATCTAATATAATTTTTTTAATTAATTCAGATTCTCATCTTAATATTATATATAAATTAATTTTTGAATTATACAACTTCTTATCAATATTGAGTTATTTAGCTTTTTCGATAAATGTAATCATCCATTCTATGATAGTGCAATTTATTTTCTTCTTTTCATTTTAAATTCTTTGTTATAAAGAGGGAAAATAAATCGGTTAAAGTATTAATGAAGCATGGTGTAATGAGTTATTATAAATAAATTATTATAAATAATTAAAAAAAAACTTGTTTGGGGCAAGAGAGGGTCGAAGCTCAAAGGAAAGAACAAACTACAGAAAAACATCTCTAGGAGTGTGTAATCCTAAAACATCATCATCTAAAAGAGAATCTAGAATATCCGAAGCTTTGTTATGAATCTGAAATCCATCATGGGAACAACTAATGTTAGTGATGGTATCAACATATCTATTCGATTCTCTGAAGTTGTGAGAAACAATCACAATATCATGATCGTTCATAATGTGACATATATCACAAAGCAAAGCTTTACAATCCGTCTTGTTAATATTGTCATCTTGAATAGATTTGACAATAATCTAAGAATATGTATTAATCTCCACTCTCTTTAAACTTAAGGATTTTATAACTTTGAGACCTTCTAACACCCCCTAAAATTCGACTTGCAGAATATTACACGAACCTAAATTCTTTGAGAAATCTTTAATCCAATTCACATGATGGTCTCTAATAAGCTCTCCACATCCAGAAACACGATTCTCTTTCCTAACTCCATCACTATTAAGCTTAACCATATCCAGGATTGGAGGCTTCCATCCCACTAATCTACTACCATTATCCACTCTCATATTTTTAAAAATTGCACAAGCATTATCATACTCCTTCTTCCTCCTCATAATTAATTTAATTTTTAATTACTATCATTATATATTATTATCAAGCATACTAAATTTTATTTAAATTTAAAATTATTATTATTAGTTATATTTTTTAAAAATTTTATTATGTTTTTAATTAAATTATTCAATGAAATATCAAATGATTTTAAAATTTTAAAATTTACTAAATTTAATAAATTTTGTAGAGTTAAACTTCTATTATGAAATTCTCCTAGACAAAAAGATAGAGAAAATATTCATTTAGAACAGAAATTTTAAGATACCATGGAGTGTAGATATTCATTTAGAACTGAAATTTGACGGAGAGCTGTCATATATTTTAAGTTTATAAAAATTATAAATATGATATAATAAGAAGGATTTAAAACTGATATTTGACGGAAAAATGTTATAAATTTTAGGTTTGAAAAATTTGACTAATATCTAAAAGTAATGTTATTTGAATTGAAAAAATGATTTTATTCAAATATGTAGTTTTTAAAATTAACTCATCTGAATTCAATTGAGTTTTGTTAACTCATTTGAATTCATGGGTAGATATAAATGTATCTATGAGATATCAGCCGTAAATTGTTCATTTTAATGTCCATTTTTTAAATATTTCTCTTGCTGCTATTTTATATGATTGAAGTTAGAAGATCGATTGTACGGTTTATTGTAAGTACGAATCAATATTTAAAAGTTGGAGCATATTATTAGTATATATTTGCAACTATGTCAAAGTTAACCAATTGAAGAATAAATTTAAACTTTATAAATGATGATTTGATAGACATGTGATACGAATTCAGACAGAATCCGTGCGACAACACAGGTTTCTTACTAGTTGTTATATGAAGAAGAGTGAGAATAAGTAAGACTAACTAACAAGGACTTACATTCTAGTATACACATGTCATGGTCAGACTTTTTTTTAAGTAGAAAAGACTTTGGCCTTTTTATAAGTCTATTTAGTTATATGAGATTTCTTAACCCATTTCATAATTTTCTAGTGTATCATGCGAAATTTTGAAAATATTCTTGATTGTCTAAAATACATTTTCGAATTACACCCCACACACGTAAAAAAAATTGTTTTTAAGATACATTCTCATTTACTACTTAATTTATTTCAAATATACATTTTCGATTTCTTAACACCACCACCGAAATTAGTTAATGCACCACGATCACGGATTGTGTTTTAGAAATTCTATAATATGAAACTGTTTGATGAACAAAATAAATGATTTTTTTTTTGACAAAACAAAATAAAGGAGTTGAAATATTATATATATCATCAATTTATTATAATATTTAATTATGTATAGTTTTTTTGGTTTATCAAAAACTTTAATAGATTTTAGATAATTAAAAATTATCCTCTCCACTTCTTTTTAAGTTTCTGTTTAGGAAAAAAATATTGTTTCTATTTAAGTTTCGTTTTTATAATTTAATATTATAATTTATCAATTATATTTTTATTTTCTCAATAATTTTACTTTACATTTTTTATAAAATTAATTATTTTTTAATTAATTGTTGGAAAATAAATAAATTAAAATATAATTAAAAAAACAATTTGAATAATCTACCATTTTGATTGAAAAAATCTATAATAAAACAACACTTAAAAAAGAATGATATGAGTAGTTTTTTTTTAAATCATCACAATTAAAATATTTCACGCTACAACAACTGTTTTTTTAATTAAGACGTGTAAAAGTGACAAAATGATTTATAATAGAATATATTAATACTAATTATATTATAAACTTAAATTTTTACTATTATTGACTTTTCATAAAATAAATAACATAAATTTTCATAAAACTTTGTTTCATATATATAGCTACTTATTCATTAGATTCTGATACTAAAAGAACATCTACATAAACACACTTTATCTACCTTTTATATAGAGCTTCAAAAATGATTAGAAATCGAAAATGTACTTTCGAAATAAATTAAATCATAAATGAGAACGTATCTCAAAAGCAAAAGAATTATATGTGTTAGGATGTGAATCGGAAATGTATTTTTGAAAATCTGAAGGCATTTTTGGAATTACATAAGATCTTTTTCAATCATATGAGGTGGTTTAAGAAATCTCTTTAGTTAAATAGGCTATGCCACATGTCATAAAAAAAGCCTTTAAAGTCTATCAGGTCGGTCTATTTTAATAAATATATAATTTTTTATATTATATTTTGTACTTTATATTAAAATACAAAAATAAGTTTAATTATCTTGAAGAACTTGTGAAAATAAGGTGAAAAAACCTTATGAATAATGACATAAGTTGTTTTCATAAGTTCTCTCAAACAAATAATCTTACAAAAATTATGCTACTATGTAAACTCAAATAAGTCAATCAAAACACACATATAGTCTCATTGTACTTTTGATTCTTTAGTACATTTAAACATTAGTTGAATTGATTATTTACAGATATTCGAATGATATAGGTTTTTTAAGTAGGCTAATAGACTAATTAGACCTTCGAAAAGGCAAGACTTAGGCCGAAAAATAAGCCTATATAGGCCACGTGTCAGGCTTAGACTTTGAACATTTTAGTAGGTCAGACTTAGGCTTGGCAAAGACTAATTCAGTCCATCTTATTTCCACCCCTATATATGGGGCACACCTCTGAAAATCTGAAAATGTCATCGGATAAATTCAGAGATGCATCTCTGAACCCACTAATGAACATCATGATGTATTTTCTTGGGAAAATAAATTTGTTTCTCATCTTTACAAGTGACCACTAGGTGTGGGGACTCTCTTCTTCTGGTGACAGTATTTTCTATTGGGTAAGCATGCGAACTCGCCCCTTTGGGCTTCCAGAAGCATCATTTCACTTCCTTTTCTCCCTCTATTTTCATATAAATATTTTTGGGTTAGTTTTTGTTCCCTTAAACCCTCACTTCTACCGATTACATCAAAGAAAACTAAGCTCATCCACGTCTAGGACATTATTTCCTTGTACTTCACTAAGAACATGATCAAAAAGTTTCATCATTGCATCAGCGTTTCCAGTAGGAGACAATATAGGGACATGATAATGGAACGTTGCTCGAGAGATAAAAGGGAAAACATGGATACCTTTGGTGATCTATTTTCTCTTTACTTCTACCTTCATATTCCCATTATCTGCGAGCTGGAGCTTTTGGTCCCTTTATCTTCTTTTGAGACAGAGTTCTTAACTACCATTAATGTGGCCCCTCCCCAAGTTACTCGAAATGTTTGGGGTATACTTAGAAATATTCAAACAATCTGATGTAACTTAGGGGAATCCCCTTCTACCAGAGTGCTTTTCTATTTTTACAAGATGAAGTTTTTTCCCAATAATGGTTGGGTAACGTTGTGTCCTTTTTCTTGGGTGTGTTTGCTGAAACCTTTCACTAGTCCTTATGAGGATTGGAAAGACAAGTTCTTTCGAATAAGAGTATAAAATGATGTTTTTCCTGTTATTGCGAGAGCGGAAGGCGTGCCTATATTTCTCCTATCTTGGAGTCTCTATCCTAAATCCACCGCGAGGATGGACTCACGTGTCCTTTCTACTATGGATCGTGAAGTGATTCAGGTTTTGGAGTACTTTTGGCCCCTATAGTTCAACACCCTTATCAACTGGAACCGAGAAGACGACATTGGAGTGGAGGAGTATGTAGGTACGGGTAGATACATTTTTATTCTTATTTCTTTATGCAAACATATTCTTATGGTTTGTTATCTACAGACAAGATAATAAATTCGAATATGCATATCTGAATTTCAATAAACAACTACCATTCAAATACCAAGAATACTACTTTACTCCTCCTCTTAAAATAGTAGAAACTATTTTAGATTTGGATACCTATAATCTAATTAGTCCTCTTGAGTTAGTTCTATTACCTTTGTTAAAGATACGGTGTCAAATATTAAATTAATCTATTGATTTTGCTTTGTCATAAGAGTATCTGAGAGGGATGGGGGAGTTAGTTAATTGGTATAAAAGTCTTTGTAACTCTGTGCCTCGGTAGTTGTTCGGATTTGAGTATAAAAGTCCTTGTACTCATTTTATATATTTATTTTGATTATGAAAAAAAAACAAAGAAGATAATCAGTACTTTCCACAATAATACAACCATAAATTTAAATAGACATATTAATATCAACCTTGTAGCAAAGTGGTCCATGACTTTTTTAGGTCCATGATTTTATTAGCAGTAGCTTCATCAAGAGAGAAATTCTTATATATGGTGTGATAAAAGAAATAAAAAAAAGGGTCTTGGGATCCAATACTCTTTAAAATCACAATAGAAATCAATCCTCATAATTTTTTTTTTAAATAAAGAAAAATATGACAAATAATCAAAATTACCATCATAGCCTCTTTCAATTTAGTTAATAATTATATATTTTTTTATTTTTTATTTTTTTTATATTATTTAATTACCATCTACAATTTATTATTCATAATACATAAATATATTAAGCTTTTGTTTGAAAGTTTGGAGGAAATTTTAAACTAAAATTTCGAAAACATTTTTTTTAAATTAGAGAAACATTTAATATTTTTTAGATTTTTTTTGTATAAAATAATAAAATAATATTTATATATTTTTAATTTTTAAAATACTACAAAAACAAAAAAATATATTTAAATAGTTTGTATAATTCTTCAAAAATCTTCCACCAATATAATTTTTTTTAATTCTCCTAAATTAGTGAGATTTTGATCAAAATCTTTGGCTCTCTTCTCCCTCCAAACTTTCAAACAAAAACTAAATTTTTTTTATTTTATATTAATAATTTATGTATTAAATAATAGAGAAAATAGAATATGCATTAACGGTATAATTTATTTTTATATTGTCAAACAATCACTATCGAATATTCTTTTAAATCATACTTTAATTTTTAAATTAAAAGTATAACATGAGTGAATGATAAATTTTTATTAGATGATAGACTAAAACTATTTTACATTGTTATTGTATAATCATTAAACTCTAATTAATATTTACAATTTATTAATTTTTTTGTTACAAATATATATCAAAAGAAAATTCTAAATTTTGCCAAGACTAATTGAATCTCAGTATTTAAAAAAAGTTTAACATGAGACTTCCCAAAAATGATCTTGATCAAACTATATAAATCCAATGATAAAATTCAAAGCTCACTTTATAAGCCAGGTTCAAGTTTAGACAAATCAACATAAATTTGTGGATCCTTAAGCAGCATAGTCAAAGGTAAACATAACATGTTACATGCTGAGTCAGATCACTCTCATACTCCATTCTTAGCTATCTGGATAATACAAACCCTGAAGCTCTCTCATCTTTATCTTCTTACAAACCATCTGTTATCACCATATTAGTTACACTATTGATTATTTATCTAATAATAATAATAATAATAATAATAATAATAATAATAATAATAATAATAATAATAATAATAATAATAATAATAATAATAATAATAATAATAATAATAATAATAATAATAATAATAATAATAATAATAATAATAATAATAATAATAATAATAATAATAATAATAATAATAATAATAATAATAATAATAATAATAATAATAATAATAATAATAATAATAATAATAATAATAATAATAATAATAATAATAATAATAATAATAATAATAATAATAATAATAATAATAATAATAATAATAATAATAATAATAATAATAATAATAATAATAATAATAATAATAATAATAATAATAATAATAATAATAATAATAATAATAATAATAATAATAATAATAATAATAATAATAATAATAATAATAATAATAATAATAATAATAATAATAATAATAATAATAATAATAATAATAATAATAATAATAATAATAATAATAATAATAATAATAATAATAATAATAATAATAATAATAATAATAATAATAATAATAATAATAATAATAATAATAATAATAATAATAATAATAATAATAATAATAATAATAATAATAATAATAATAATAATAATAATAATAATAATAATAATAATAATAATAATAATAATAATAATAATAATAATAATAATAATAATAATAATAATAATAATAATAATAATAATAATAATAAATTATTATCTATTTTAAACTTGTGCTGTTTACATATTAATTAATTTGGATATATTTCTCCCTCCCTGTATATATTTAGCCATAAATGACTCATTCTACCCATCACTCACTCTCCGTTTTCAAAGGATATTACTAAGTCTCATTGGTAAGTTCTTCTATGTCCTATTTTTCTCTCCCACATTTAGAGTGTGTATTTTTGTTCATTCTTAATTTGAGATTTCATGTTCTTTTTGCAGCTAATTGCTTTATTGATATTGGTTCATTTCTTTGAGAAATTATATACACTTCTTGGAGGAGGACATAAAACAAAGACATTAATATTGGAAGAGAATTTGGACCTTGCTAAAGAAGCAAAGATGCTGGGAATTTTCAACAAAAAATTGGTGAATCCACCTCAAGAGCTTAATTGTCCAGCTCCATTGAATTCATCCAAAAAATCTAAACTTCCTGATGAAATCCTTCAGCATTTCATATCATTCAATCCTTCCCATGCTTTCTCCATGAACTTTGGAAGTGATGCTATTCTAGGTTATTCTCCTTCAAACAATCATCAAGGGTATGTAACAATGATTTGGATCTAAAATGAGTTATATATGTTTTTTTTTTCTCATGGAAATTTATATGCAGGATGTTTTGTGGTTTGGATAACATATATTGTGCTTTCATGGGTAGCTTGAACAACCTAAGTATGCTGATAAAGCAATATGGACTATCAAAGGGAACTAATGAGGCCAATTTCGCTATTGAAGCATATAGGACACTTCGCGACAGAGGTCCATTTCCTGCGGATCAAGTCATCAAAGAACTCGATGGTAGTTTTGGATTTATCATCTTTGATAACAAAGCTGAAACTGTTTTTGTTGCTTCAGTAAGTCCCGTGGATTCATATATTTTTTCAAATTATTACGGATGTTGAGTATGTTTGTTGGTTTGTTTGAGCAGGATTGTAAAGGACAGGTTGAGCTTTTCTGGGGTATTGCAGCTGATGGTTCTGTAGTTATTTCTGAAAATGTGGAGCTTATTAAAGCAAGCTGTTCTAAGTCATTTGCATCATTCCCACCTGGTATATACATTTATTTCCCAACCAAAATGAGTTTCATTGTTAACATATTTTCAGTGCACATTTAATATCACGGTAAATTTATCAGAATCACGGAGCAACACGTGATTCTGATAAATCTATCTACCGTGATACTAAGTATACATTGCAGGAAAAGGGAGATAATGAAAATTGCATTGCAGGGTGCATGTTTCACAGTGAGCATGGTCTAACAAGTTATGAGCATCCAATGAAGAAAATGAAGTCAATGCCACGTGTTGACAGTGAAGGAGCTATGTGTGGGGCCAACTTCTATGTGGACTCCCAATCAAAGAAGTCCATGATGCCACGTAATGGAAGTGAAGCTAATTGGGCTACTTGGGGCTCACAAGCTTGATTCATCTAATCATCCTATCATCCAAATATGTATATAAGCATTTTCTTTTTCTCTTTTATTCTAAGAGGGTGCAATGCTTTGTTATTATCAGTTCTTTCGGGATTTTCTTTTTTCTTTTTCTGTTTACTTTCTTGTATTTGTATATATTATAATAATAACAAGTTTAAATTTGGAATTCAGTTTTGCAATTTTGTTCGGTTACTATGTTGTTCTTAAATTTTACTTTCTATTCCAATTTGACTTCTGTTTAACTTGTGTTGGATCATACCTTACATAATGGAACAGATAGAAGGCTAAATGGAGGATTATGACAACTTTTGCAACTAATGGAATACAGTGAAACATAACCGCGATTTGAAACATAGAGATCAAACATCATGCTATGTCAATGTATAAATTAGTTTTGCACTAACACGTCCCAAGTTGGATTACACTGACAGTTCATCCTTTTTAAGCTCTAAAATTTATTCAATTATTTACTCTAATCACTATGCTCTAAAATTTATTCAATTATTTACTCTAATCACTGTGAACCGAAATACAATTAAGCTTATGTAAATTAGTTTTAAACACAAAATATATGTTACACATATCTTACAGTTTGTGATGTTCTTTTTTGAAAGTTTTGCGCTTGGATTGTTGAGTTTAATGATTGATGTATAAAAATTTACACAATCATCAACTTAATCGGATTACCAAATATTTTATAAAGTGATATAAAAAATGTGTTGTATAATTACCCCATCTATCCATCGATTATTACAAATAGCATAACACTTTATTGTTTTCTTAGATTACAGTAATAAATTGATAGTTTTAATGATAATGGAAGTTTACATGACTTGCATTACAAATTACAAAATGAGAAACTCATGTAAATCTTTCTATAGCTGTAACAAAAGATTGGTTTTTAGCTCTTTAATGGTAATCAAAACAACTATGTCCCTTGATTCAATAAAAGCAATTTTGCTTCTTACAGTTAAGTAATCAACCATTCAATACTCCAATTAAGTTACAGATGATTGTAGATAGTCCAATAAGGCTCTGTGATCATGTAGGATTCATTGACCCTGAGATGGAAGACAATCTGAGCCTATAAGTATCAAAGCTATAAATAAGGGACTTGGTCGATCTGATTAGGCACATCAATGATACAGAATCCAACCTGTGAAGTTCAACAGATCAACCTTTTGAAAAGATGTCAACCGCTTCTGATCAAACTGATTGTTGTGGCCACACTTTTAATCCAAGTCCACAAAAATCTGCAACAACACAAGAAACCATGATGCTTTTAGATGGGCAAAGGGGATGCACCAATGTCAAACTGCTCATGGAACACAATCCATCCGTGTACAACTAACCTCTAAATCAGGAAGTGGTTCGTAAGATTTCATCTCCCTTGTATCAAACACCGTAATACCAGTTATTCTCTGAATTCCAGGTTTAGTGGCTATGAGATTCTGCATATGTCATGACATTGCTAACAATATTAAACACAAAATTATCACAGTCTAAGGAGAAGTGAGATGTAATATGTTGCAACTCATGCAATGCACTGAATTGTGATTTGGAAAAAAATTATTTAAATTATTGTACAACTACAACTGTTTGTTTTTTATTAGTTATTACTTTCTGGAAATGAGGCCTAAATGGATAAATCATGATTAATCAATAGTAAGAAATCATAATGATTGAAACAGATGTTTGATAGGGCTAGTTTTATAAAAATCTCAGAAAATATCCTAGCTATTGATCTCAGAAATTATCACCCAAATTCCAAAGAGCTATCACAACGGATATAGACGCCCAAATCACTCAAAATAAAATAAAATGAAATGACTGCAGGCCATTTAAGGCCTTAAGGTCTGCAGGCACCCCTTTCCCACTATTTCGCACTCAGAAATTTCATGTGCATTCCAATCATTAAAAGAGTTTCATTCTGTAGATGCATTTTTTGTTGCATCAGAATTCAAAAGACCCAAAGTTATAAAAGAAGTAAAAAGATAACGAAAAGTTGATTACAACTAATCCACAACATGTTGCAGACATGATAAGCTAAAAGCAATTTAGTGGAACTTATAAAAAGAAAGCTGAAGAGAATACATGGAAGTTTTTATGCTACGAACCGGCCAAATGTTCTGTAGTATGATTTCAAAATTTCTATACCACTACCACTATAACAAGTATATGATATAAGAGCAGAATTCTTTTAATTTATACCAGGCTGAAATTAGTGGATCCTAAAGCCTCAACCTGTGATAAAACCTGTGCAAAGATTTCAACATCGTATGTTAGAGTTAACTGCAAGAAAAATTCAAATGACAGGATCATGCATAATGACAATATCTAAACTCCCGTCAAAACACAAATTTTGATACAAAGACACCATGTATTGGGGGGAAAGTTATACTTTTGACAATCCAAGGCAGAGAAGATCCACACAAAAAGCATTACCATTGATTGAAGACCATTAATCATAACAGCTGTCTCCCCAGGTGAACCATTTTGGGACACACTAACTTCAAACGGGCCAACCCCTCTCTCTGTCAGGTTTGTAAGATTCAGTTTTAGCTGCAAAGAACAGGCAATAAACTTCAGCTTCCATTTTATATTTTCTTCTTTGAGTACACTAGACTAGAGGATCAATAGTAGAACACGATTAAAAATAGCAATGCATCTACCCTAAGATGGTGAATAAACTCTACCAAGAGGTGCTACATAGGATGGAAAATGGCCCGCAGCCCAAAACCTAGAATACCTAAGATGCAATTTTCTGGTTTATAATGTATAGACCGATCATAAAGTACCGTGAATGGTCTTTGAAGGTTAATGATAGATGGAACTTCTACAACTTGCAACTCAATCTCTTTCTTTGTTGTTGGCTGCAAAGGAACATTTCAAGATAAATTACTGGTGTATGAGAACTAAATAATCATAGTTAAGAAAACTGGAGGCCACGTTAAAAGCATTAAACTTCAATTACTAAGTTTATGTGCATCTAACAGGATTTGAAAATTAAACATGTAATCAGCTTTATTGTTTTGAAAGTGAAGGGGAAAAATGAAATACATCATACTAGATTCAGATAAATGATGTGCGAAAACAAAGAAGCTTGACCATCAACTTTGTCATTGTTTATTGATATTACTCCATACCAATTTATAAGCAAAAATCTAATATTTCACACTTATTAAAAGTTTAAATTTTTGTGTCTTTTTTGAAATATGTTTTATAGAAAGATGTAAAAACAATTTTATTGGTTGTTGTTTATGGAAAAAATGAGAGAGAAACCAAATTAAATGCAATTTGCATATAATTTTACCTTGGAAAAGATGAGCTTTTTAAAATAAAATGATTAAATGACATAAAGTTGATGTTTTTTTGCTTATAATTTGTAATAAGAAAAATGAGTGTTTTTTGCTTATAAACTGGTACGGAGGGAGTACTTAACAAGGTTACACTACACCAATTAATTAATTCATCTATGGGTCATCATTATAGAAGAAAAAACACTTACAGTTCCCAATATTTGCTGGGTCTGCAGGCGGCCAGGTTCACCCAAATTTGTTCGCCATGTTATTTGGAGTTTACCAAGAACGTTACTTCCATCAACTTTAGTTTGAGCAGAATCATCCAATGATGACTTCAATTGATAGAGATAGTTGTAAATTCCTCCACCAGATCTTATTAGTACTGGGGGCTTAAATGTCTCCCTGAATTCAAGCTAATATATAATCAAACAACAATAATAAAAATAAAAACATGGTATTTGTTTATTTAATAATGTTTTACACCAAAAGAAATACAAAGCACTGACCTTGTAGGACTATCTTTCTTAGAATGGTTCCCATCACCTATAAGTATTGTTGCACCATAATGCTGAGCAGGTTCAAAATCAACTTGGTCCATGAAAAGGTTAGATTTAGTATGGTTTTCAATACAAGCCTCCAAAAAGGTAGTTTCCTGAGACAAATCAAGAAGATAAATTGATACACTTTCAGAATTCTATGAACTTCATAATTGTTGAGAGAGATCTCAACTGAATACTTTTATTTTTCTGTTTTGAATTTCAATTCTTAATGAATTACTAAGGGTGTAGTCTATTTAAAGACTCACAGCACTAACTAACTACTATTAGTTAGTTCCTGAAATTTAGGGGAAATTCCTGAAAGCTGGGAGGTTAGTTATGCTAGGCAGTTGTACTGTGCAGCTAGTGCACAGTACTTACAGTAGTCAGCTTTTCTAGATTCTTCTATAACTCAGTGAACCAGTTCTCTTAATAGTAGGTAAGGATGGGCACTTCAATTTACAAAGCAGGTATAATTTCCTTAAAAGCCTTAAAAATCAAATATTAAAACATGACATTTTCAAACCTAATACTAATAACAGACTCATCATAAATATGTTTGTCTGAAGTCAGGGGGCTTAATTTGTCAAAGTTTCTCCTGGAAACATATAAAAGGGAAAGGTGGCTACTGGCTAATCAATACGTAAAGAAATAAAGGTTAAAGAACTTATGAGATGTTCATTTTGTTTCTATCATTTTTAGCTACTATAGATGTATTCTTTGGTAATGTGAGTTATTTTCCTATTTTCAACTTTTTGCAAAGGAAATAGCGAAAAATTGGAAATATACAGCATCATTGTATACAACTACACTGTCAGTCACGACAAGACCCCGTGTTAGTCTAGTCTAGGAAAATAATAAAAACTTACAAGTATGTAGAATATTCAATCATCAACATACCTTGATAACGCGGACCTGCAAAAGAGATTTCAGAATGTGGGTGAGACACATAAATGCATAAAGAAAATTTTAAAAACATTTTTTTATACTATTGGTCTAGTGGCCAATACATACGCACTCAAAGAAACACTTGCGGGAAGGGTGAATGTGGTGACCCGGGTTAAAACCCCGAATTTCACATAAAATGTCCTATCAGTCAAACCACAAGGGTGTAACAACAAGGACAAAAAGCATTCAATAACCCAGTTTCTATATAATAGTCTATTAAAATTCACTCAATATGATTAACAAAAGAAAAATATCAATACCTTTGTCCTGACAGAAAGTGGATTAGCAACGATGAACTTGAAAAATTGGGGAAGATATTTACGCTCTCCATCACCATCATTGTACAATGCAGTGCAAACCAGCCTGAAGGGTAGATATACTATACAGTCAATCAAATTAATGTGAAAGAAGCATAGCATACCCTAACAGAAAGAAATTGTTGAGCGCTAAAACTTACGTGTGAGGTCCAAGCTCTTTGACGTCATGTTCCACAATAAAATCATAACGGCCACCAGCACGTATAGTCTCAACCGGTGCTTTCGACGTATCTAACAGAAGTATTCTCTGTCTCTCTGTTTGTATTTCAGCCTAGCAGTAACAGTTTCAAAGGAATAAAACAAACAAATTCAGTACTCTCGCTACTATGAATAAAATGCATATGCATTTTCTCGAACTTAAGTTGATTAAAAACAGTTTTGAGGTTTGATTGGGACAGCTTATGCACATGCACATAAACTGTTTTTAAGCTTATTTTCATAAACTAGTTAGGATAACCTACAAAAAAACAGCTTACAACTTAGACGAAAACATTTTGACTTAATTTTATATTTTATTATAAAACTAGCGTATACGCAAACATTTACCAGTATATGATAAGGGATTATGCTACAAGCGTTTAATTGAGATGTTTATCCAAACAGGACTTAAGGGAATCTACATGTAGTTATCTAGTTATCCAACATAAATGAATTAAAAGAAAAAGAAAGCAATGAGTAGAATGCAAGTAAAGGTAATTGAAGAGTATGAAGGTTAGTTAGAAGAAACTGACCTTGATGATAACTTCTCTGACTTCAATGTTGGAACTATTGTTGATACTTATATAGCTACAGAAAGTCTCTCCCAAGTAAATTGCTCTGCATCAAGCAAATTGAAAAGTAAATAACATAAAAATAAAAAAAAAGATAATTGAAAATGAAGAGAGAGTGGGAGAGAGAGAAGGGACCCGAAGGACTGAGGGAGAACGAGGAGGCCAGAGAGGCCCATGGAATCGGAGAAGTGATGAAGGAGGAAGCGGTCGCGATAACTGGGGTCGGAATCGGGAGCGATGAGATTTGCGGCGGAAGGGGCGGAAGGATCGTCGAAGTGGTCTTCACCGAGGAAGAGGTCGTCGGGATCGATACGAATGGGAGGATCGACATTGAAGGATGGGCGGCAAAGTCTCATAACCCTAAACGCAACTGAATGAGAAGATGAAGATCCTCCAGTTTGACTCATCTTGTTAGAAATTCAAATGCGAAATGTTGATGATTTACAGTCACATAAGAATCAATATCTAGATCGTTTTCAATATGTTTCTTTCAAAATAATAATGGGAATTGGATTCGGGGTTTTTCTATCCTAAACATGAAATTCTTAGTTTCATGTATTCATTATCGCATACTACACCCAATTTTCCTACAATAATACCTGCTGTGGGGTTGTGAACTCAAAGACAATGTGATATATATCATTTTATATTGAAACAAGAATCACTTGAACGACAATATACATTATTTTATTAAAGTTCCAATACGATTACAGTTTAAACCGATGCAAGGAGAGTGTAAAAATAAGTCATCTAATAAAAATATATCGTTTTGTTATAGTATAAATTTTTAATTTATTATGGGAATTAGTTGGTAGTGTAAAATCTTTTTACATGGTCAATTCATCATTCATTTTTTCATATAATTAATAATATATATATATATATATATATATATATATATATATATATATATATATATAAAAGTCTCCAAATTCAAAAGGATGTATCTGCTTCCGCTGCCATCAAAAAGCCTTTCCCAGCAAAGAAAGAAGTATCAGCTGTCTACTCTCAAAGAGGTCAGGGAAGGATTGAGCGTCGGTCAGCGATGGGGGCTGTAATGATTCAGAAAACTGCAGCTGATCAGCCCAGAAACAATCAATCCAGAACCAACCAAGCAAGAGTGGAAAGGCCTATGCGGCAATTCACCCAGATAAGCATGACTCCTGCTACTACCATTCGAATGTCAAATGTGCTTATCATTCAGGGAGTATAGGGCACGACACCAACAATTGTTGGACCCTCAAGAATAAGATTCAGGATTTAATAAACGCTAAAGAAGTGGAATTCGACGCCCCTGAAAAGCCTAACATAATCTCTGCTCCAATGCCAAAGCATGACACAATGCCCATGCTGTTGAAGAAGATCTTTTTATTGCTACTGTTGATGATTTGATGACTCCGTTATCGATAATTAAGTTGAATTTGCTGAAGGCTGGGATTTTCCCAGATTGTGAAGAAGATTGCTGCATTTGTTCATCCTTACCAACCGATTGTCAATTGTTGAAGATAGGCATCCAACGCCTAATTGATAATCAAGAAATCCTATTTGAGAAGTCTCCTATTACACCGACTCCTGTCAATGATATTTCAATAATTACCATATCCGCCAATCTTTCCAAGGTCTCCAAAAGACATGTTAAGATTACATCCGATCCGAAGATTGCACCTCTGAAGATAACCATGTCGGGGCCCATCCCGTACAAGTCCGACAAATCAATACCGTGGAACTATGGGGGAGAGATCTTTTACCACGGTGTTAAGCAAATTGAGTCGAATGAAGAGAGTTCTGATGAAGAGACTTTCGACATTGGAAACATTGCCGGAACAAGTAAAATCACCCGCAGTGGAAGAATTTTCTCTTCGGAGATTGCGCCTCCAAAGGCAATCTTCGGACCCTCAGCTGCTCCTAAGGTTACTCCTGCACCTGTCAACGTATCTGCGAGAACTCCGATTATTGAAGAAGTTATAACTCCTATGATTGTCCCATTTGCTGCTGCTGATGATAGAGGGAAAGGGATCCAAGAAGAGCCTAATCTGTTTACCCTAATCCGTTTCCCCTAATCAAAAAAACCATAAGCCCACACACGCGTTTTTGGCTCACACCCCCATCCTGGCCTTGTTTCTTGCTTGTTTCAGCATTGCCAAATGTACCTTTGGGCCTAACCTCCCTTTAATTCACCTAAGTCCATTTTCACTTGTTTTGTTTCAATTTAATTTGATTTGTTTTATCTCTTTGTGTTAATAATATATTAAAACTTCATTTTTGTAAAATTAATTTGATTTTCTTAATTAGTTTTCTTTTATCATTTTCTTTTTTTTATTAATTTTCTTACACTTAATAAAAACACCAAAAACATTTAAATTAGTTTATTTTTCTTTCTTCAACATGTTTTTATACCATTTGTCTTTGACACTTTTAGTTTTCTAGCATCAGAAACAATTGATCTTTTACAGGGAGTTCAAATGCTTATGAATAGTAATGTTGTATCTCTTAAGCCTATGAATATAGTTTTTAAGAGGATTAGTTTTGTGATCTAAAAATGAATAGCGACACAGCTTGTTGTTTGCTTACCTTCTATATTTATATTGACATAATTTCTTAATTAATAGAAATTAATTAGGCAAAAACTATATGTTGATAATAATTTAGGTCAAATTTTAAATAAAAGGTAGAATCACACAAGCAAATAAAAATCTGCAGATAATCATGCGATAGATCATAATACATTTTATTTGTAGTTTTCATCGAATTTGTGAATCATGTAATAAACTGTCTATTTTGTATTCAGGATGATCCCAATGCTTTGATGCTTTGACAGAAGTGGATTTACGCACATTTTTTCAGTAAACTTCTAGTGGGCAAATTCAAATCCTATCAAATGTTTAATAACGTTGATTTGGATCCTTATGTCAAAAATCGTCTTTTTAAAACTCTTTCACTTGCATATAAAATAATTATTTTTCTCTCATAATACTTTTCCATCCTATTGAAAGCTTATTAATCAATAATTATAAAATTTAAGATTTTTAAGAGATACAAAACCAATATTTTAAAAATTGGATCGAAAATTGAACCGACAAGACTTTTAAATTAAGATTCATTTAATTCAATTGATTAAACTTACAGTTGAACTGTTTATTAAATAAATTAATAATATAAAATTAAATTTTATAGATAAGTTACATAATTATATCGAATTAATAAAATAAATGTTAAAAATTCATCATAAACTTAATATTATGTGATCAATAATAGACGTAATTATACAATATAATAGTACGTTTAAACAAACAAAACTCTATTAGTATTATAACTTATATATTTGTGTTGCTCTTTTATGTTAAAAAAGAGTTTAGGTTTTGTAAAAAAATAAAATAAATTTAAATATGGATGTTAACATAATAATCATTTTCAATTTTTATTAAAAAATAAATAAAATTAGCCAATGACATGTATTTCTTTAAACCAAACAGTTTTATAAAATCGGTTTTAATTTTTTTATTCGAACGGTTTTGATGGGTTCAATTTAATTTTACTCCAATTTTGACTCACTCATGATTTTACAAGACTGGTCAGACCGGTCAGACCGGAATTACCTCCAACTCTCGGTCCAACTATTGAACCAGACAGTTTGGTCAATTTTTAAAACATTACATGGTACAAAACATCGTGGCAAAAAAACAACACTAAGAGATACATAGATCTGCTCAAAATATTAATTGTGGGATTAAATGAATAGTGAAGAAAATATTGAAAACTAGTATCTTTGCAATAAGTTGAAATTATGGACCATTCTACTTCAAAATTGTTCCGGCTTCATTGATAATTCAGTCAGGATAGGAAAAGTCTGTGGTAGTGAAACTGTTCAAAAACGTGAAGGCTTAAATTTTGATTATTGTGTGAATCTTAGAAATTGCAGAAGTATTTGCGAGAAGAATGAAAGCTTAAAGACTATATTGATCTAAAGAGTATAATATACTTTTGAAGGAAATTCTCTACATATCTTTCAAAATACATGATTCTTGTTCAAAGATTTTAAAATATAGGTGCAGAAATTAGAACAGATACACCTTTTAACTATGTTGTTAACAGAATTTGGAAGAACACTCTAGATTTTGTTTAAATGCAAGAACAGAAAAATTCTTAACCAAATGAACTACTTCATTATTAGCTTTATTCGAAATGCAAAATGTTGATTTGTTAGTATACTTCATTAAGTTAAACATTTAATATTAAACACTGTTTCGCCAAATTAACACATCAATTAATAGCACCAACAAATGACCCTCAAACACTGCTATTTAAACTCAGTTTTGCAAAAACAGAGAAAGCAACCATCGGACTTAGGCCAGACCAGACTAGAACTGTATTATATGTCCAACTAACAACCAGAACCAGTTCCCATTGAATTGTGCAATAGACCTGATGACAAAAAAAATCCATATTGGTCACTGCAGTAAATATAAGTGCAACTAATGTTCTACTGCAAAACTAATGTTCTACTGCAAAACTAATGTTCTACTGCAAAACTAAGCTAATAGGACGTGGACATTGATGAGATGGTGAACACCTAGTGTCTATACATAATAGAATAAGATACAAGACAGTTCCTTAACTCGTGCAGAACCTTCTCATTCTCAGGGACTGTTAAGTGACAACAACTTGTGTAGACCTTCTCATTCTCAGGGATTGTTAAGTAACTACTTACATAGGCCCCGTATCAGTAAAAGCTACCCTACATCAACATGCATGAAAAAGCAGGTACACATTGCTTCTACAGAGGGTTTTACAATCTGCATTACCAAACACATATACTGTTTAAAAGTCTTTGATGGCAACTGCAAGAAAAAATAATCCATCAGATTTCTAGTGACCTCTATAACAAACTGAGATATGAATGAATCGATTTTTGATTGATTGAAGCCCCCGCAGAATGATCGTAGAAAAAATATTCAAATCCAAAATAGGATGGCCACCTTCAGTAGCAATTTATACAGAAAACCAACCTGTCCGGCATACCTAAAACTCTCCTGTTCAAATTTAGTCAGCATCCCGTGAGTATTCTTTCATAGTTAGCCACAAATATTTGCAAGCCTCCATTTGCCTAAACATGAAACTTAACATGATAATACCGTAATGAAGTTATCTATACAACTCGAACCCATGTCCCACCACACATTGGGCAGCCATATGCCCATCGGCTGATCCACCAGAATTCCCTGTCACTCTGACTAGGAGAGGTAGTAGAAATGGGAGAAGCAAAAGCAGAAGTCTGCCGCTGACATCTTATGCACTGCATAATGGAAGTAAACAAAGTCACAAAGAAGAAGACAAGGGCAGATTTTTAATTAAAATCATCACATCTTTCTTAATTAAAAAAATAAACAAGAGTTATTTACTTATTTAA